TCCATATGGGCATTGATCACTGATAGCTGGTGCTTGTGTGATGATTACTTTGTGTTATACCCCTCTCACTAGAATAACGTTACTGTATTAGATTTTCCCTGAGTTCAGAGTTTTGAGTCTGGGTTGCTGTCTTGTCAGTGGCATTCCAACTTACCAACAAACCTACCCCATTAAATAATAAAATTAAAGAGAAACAGAAAATTTATGAAAATGATAAATTTATAACACACCAAACAAAATCTGAACCATTTTACTTTACAGCCTTTCTCCTAACATCAAAGGCCAAATGCAATTTCAGGGCCACCAACCTGCTCTGAATTGTAACCTCCCTATGCTTGCATATTCTTCCAGAGTTGCTTGCAGACAACTTTTCGGCTAGCGTGTCAGCAGCCTTCACTGGTCTGGGAAGATTGGTGAAAGTGTCATTGATGTTGATGCAACCTTGGTAAACCCCAGGGCCTGACTCACCCCCTGGAATTTTGTTGCAACATTGTAACGTCGGGCTTTTCAGTCAGATTAGCCTTGTGTACAACGAGGAAGACGTGAGAATGACTGTAAATTGTTCAATGTAACGTGCGTGCCTCGACATCTGCAAATTTCCGATAATCAAACGTTGCATATTGAATTGTTTCATATTCAGTGGTGTGCTGCCTTGACGTCTTCATGTAATTATTTATTTACATCAATATTAACATTACTGATTACGAAAAGCAAAATACCGATCGTTTATTTTGTTGTCATCTTCATAAGGATCTTATAATTACCCAGAGAGTTCTGCTCCGCGTTTTTGATTTCAATAACATATCAATGCAAATTAAAATATAGTTACCTCTGGTTGGTTATTAACACGTCTTTAGAGCCATGCCAAACAACATCATTCGTGTTTGTCATCTTTGAAATAAATTTTTTTCCAAAAAAAGTCAATCGCGCGTCAACAAAAAAAAACACCAAGTGCCAGTAATTTAACAATAATTAATGTGTACACGTTGATCAAATAGCAAATTCTTTAACATTTATAAAAGATTACTCAATCCCGTAACACTGCTTTTTTCCTTACTTGGGATAGATTGTATGATTTTTGTTTTGATTTTTTTTTTTGGTAAATTAAATTTGTTGCTTGCCTCTCTTGCTCACTTGCACATCCTCGATTACAGTGAACCCTCTATAAGTGCACCCTCCCTAAATGCACGCACTATGTATACCCTCCATAAATGCACACCCTCCATAAATGCACGCTCACACAAGAAATAGCACTATGTTCCCGAGGGTGTGCACTTATAGAGGGTTCACTGTACAAAACCTGTTTCTTGTGTTGAATTAAATATTTTTTTTTAAATAATAAATGAATTAATTCCAAATTGTTTTTCTAGTGGCGATGCTAATACTAAATCAATAATGGATTAATTTCTTGCTGGTATTTTTAGTAGCAGGAGAGAATCTTTTTCAAAAAATGCTTAATTAATTTCACATTTTTGGAAAAGGCTCAATTTTAATCAAATGATTTCTTTTTCATTTTTTTTTTTACTTATAAATACAACCTTTGAACGTTTTAAAAAAAATTGGGAGAGTGATCATGATCAATGGTCAAATCAATGATCAAAAGATTTATACAACGCAATCAATTTTGTGAAACGAAAGTTTTCCTTTTCTTTCGAAAATTTCCAAAGAGAGATAGTATCGTTGCCAATCCTTTCTAAATATATATTACCAAAATATTGCACTGATTTGATCGAGTTGTATTCTTTCGTTAAAACATTTAAAATTACGAATTACAATGGAAAAGATCGAATCTACTTCAAATGTATGATGCTGTGCTGCATCCAAGAAAAACTTATTAATCCAATTTCGTTGTATCTTTTTTTATGTTAATACTATGGTTACTGAGAATCTTTATATATTCATCCTTGACTAACTTATTAAGACTACAACTTGTTTTCGAGATCTGATAAAGATATAATGTCACTGAATGAAATTAATTTATAGCCTAAATCGAAGTTCAAATGGAAAAAAAATTACGAATTCGTCTCCACTTATAGGGGATATATAGAAAATGCGTATCGTACTAAAAAAAAAATACAAGTTTAATATAGCAATTCATGTTCCCAACGCCTCCCAGTACGGGATTATATATATATATATTATAAAGCGAGTGCCGTACTAAAAAGTCAGTATGCACTTGTTTTGGTGGACAAAAATTTTTTTTCTTTAGTACGGTATGCACTTTCCACATATTGGGAAGGACGGGTACCTGCTAATCCAACTTCAGAGAGTATGGATTGTTTCACATTTTTTCAAAAAAATATGTGGTTTAATTATTTATCAATTAATTTCTTTAAAAATAGATGAAATAGTCGAGTATGCTCGTTTAATGGCTGAAGTTATGCTTAACTGGTGTCAAATCACCATTTTCCAAATACAATGGATGGAATAAAAAATATAACTTGTATAATAATACAATTATGATTAATTAATGAATAATATGATAAATGACACTTTTTTATAATTTTTTTTACTTTCCTTCTAAACTTTTATTTTTATCATTTTTAATTACCACATTCTACAATTTCAATAGATTAAATTCTAAATATATTTTCCACACAAAATATGGATTTCATGCAAAACATGTACTATAACCCACATTTATCCTCGGCTCATGTATATATCTAATTCAAAAAAAAATCCAGTAATTTTATATTCACATTTTGCAGGATTTTAATTTAAAATAAAAAAATCTAGTGATAAAATTTATATATAGGGTTATAGGTATATGAAAGGTAATAATAAATCTAATGGTTCTAATGAATGTTATGAAGCAATAAATTTTAGAGGTGAGTTGTGGTTATGGTTATGGTTGTTCAACTAGAATTCCAAAAGGAAAGTTTTCCGAGCCTTTCAAGCTCTTTCTAAACCAGAACAGGATATTTTCTTAATGGACCAGCTCATTGCCATGGATGGTGGAGAAATAAGTACTAACAAAGTGCCTCAAAAAATAAACAAGGAACCTTCTACTGTTGGGATCATAATACACCACTTTGCCAAAAAACTTATCTCGATATGATAGAGTTGGTCGAGATGATTTGTAAAATATTAAAATATTAGAAATCTGATAAGTAATGTTAAAAGAATGCCCTAATAGAAGACCAAGATGGTAATTGATAGAAATATTGCTGAAGTAGTGAAAGATTTTCTGGAAAGTCATGTTGAGGTTCAAGAATGTCAATATACTGTTTTATAATTATTCTGACAAGCTCTGATCCTGAAATAACAGCAAGCTCTGATGGTCATAATAGAGTCAAGAATTTTAGAATCAATCAAAGGGTAATGAATATAGTAGCAGTAAATAAGCTTCAGAAAATATAACTACAAAAACAACTACCATTATGATTAAATAACTCAAATGCCATCAACACTACTGCAAGTAAATTAATTACACGGTCGTTTCATTGTTAAACTTGGATTCTGAAGGTTTTAGGGTATTGTCAACAACGCCATTTTTTGAATCTGTGCTTATGAATTGATAATTAAGATAATAGAAGAAGAAGAAAGGTTTCATTGATCTTTTTTTATGTTAATATTTAATTATCACGAAGAATCTTTGTTCTTCACATATGCAATGTTGCTGAAGCTATATTTTAAGTCAAAATTCAAATGGGAAAATGGTTACAAGTTTATCTTCTCTTATGGCTTGCGGTAAATTTGCAGGATACTCACATGGGAAGAGTCGATGATATCCTGTAAAACAAAATCATGTAGTTTACTTGCTGAATAATTCCTTCAAAAATAAGGACATATCAGGTTGATGGTTAAAATTATAGCCGGATTATATAATGCTTAGATTATTAATCATAAGTATACGTAGGACGTTCACTCACATATAAAGCTCACCATGATTATTTGAGAATAAAAAAAATCCCATTTAATGATAAATCATGTATATAATAATCTGACTAATGAATGGCGTATCTATTCTTTCTGGAATTTGATTTTTTTTTTTTTGTTGAGGGGAATAATAGCCTCATCGTTAAAAGTATATTGTAATTCATTTTTTTAATTTTTTTTTTGCCGTATATAGAATTGTTACACGAAAGCATGTGATGCAATGTCAATACTAATACATTTATATGTATGCAATTCGAAAATTTTTTCTATTGTTTTATCGCGATTTAGGGAAAGAACTTTTAATTCAAAATTGCTGATACATAATAACAATATCGTGTGTTTATCATTTATTGGGCGTAGGTTAGGAAAATTCACGTGCTGCACATTCTAACCATTTTTTTTCAAAATGATCATTTTTTATGGCATTGGGTTTTAGTTGGCATATGACTTGCCATTGTTACATTCTTTATTATTATTATCATTGTTTCGTTTTTATTCATTCATATGTTAGCATTAGACTATATTAATATAATTGTTTGTAGCACAAACCAATTTTCGATCAGATAAAAAAGAACCATCAAAGATCCCTATAATTTCTCAGCCGTCGCAATACAATCTTCAATTTTTTCTTATTTTTTTTCTTTCACCATTTTCCAAATTTCTTTTAAAAGATATATTAGCCACCAAAACTAGTTTGTTATCAGGAGGGCTTTTCACTTTATTATTTCTTTCTCTTGCTTTTTTTTTTTAATTCTTCACTTTATCTCCTATCTAAGTAACAAAAGGTAATCTAACAAACAGGTATTTAATTTTATTATTAATCGCGCGCATTTTTTAATATTAAATAATGTATGGTTTTAATTATATGTAACTTTTTTATGCGGAGTTTTTCTTTCTTTCTTTCAGTCGGCTATTTTTTTGGACACAAGTCACAAAAAATTTATTTAATTAAACAATCGATAATCGACAATATACGCTATATATGACATATGAAAAGACATGCTTTAATCAGAAAATAACTGGTTTCTCAATTTCTTTGTCAAAGGGCGGTAGGATTAATCATCCGGATGTGATAAATAATAAAATCTAAGAATCACGGGGAAGATGTTAAAATGTAAAATCAATTGGCAAGATCAGATGATAGGTAGGTGGTGGAATCGATCATTAATCATTTCTCGTAAATATAATAATCGCGACGCATATTAAACACGTAAGTTTCAATAATTATAAATTTTTTTGTAAACCGCCGCCACGCGAAGACTCGAGTAATAACATGAGAATCATGCAGGGGAGGAGGGGTTTACCTGATTCGCTGGATTTATCATTATAAAGGGTTAAATTTTAAACTCTTACGTCGTGATGCATCAATATTGATATTGTAATATGCGGTGTTGGTTGTGGAGCAGGGCGGCTTATTACATAATTTTGGTAAAACGGCAACAACAATTCAAGATGTCATTGACATACTAAATACGAACGATCGAATAAAAATTAATCAATCGTCGTCGCCCGATTGTATATGATGAAACAATCATACAAATATTTACAGAGCGACTTTCCTTTTCACAATGATTGAAAATCTTTAACAGCCAACTAACTGACATCCGTACAAACAAACAAACAAACAAACAAACAAACGATGATCCTTAAAATGAATCTTAATAGAGATGATAGAATACTATTTAAGTTTAATTTTTTTTTTTTTTCAAAGTTTTAGTTTTCTTTAATTCCATTTAAATATTCATTATATATCAATATACATATGTATTTATATATCTTACGCAATCGTTATATATTTATTATACACATACGTACGTATAATACATTTTATATTGTTTCCTGCATTTTTGAATTTAAGATTTCATAAAACTTTAATAAACAAACAATTTATTTCTCCGAGAGAATATATAGAATGATAAATATAGTTTCATATGTCAAATATATATTTATTTATTCTAATTATTTACATATTTTATTTATTAAAAAAAAATAAATTTTTTTTTAAACATCTTAATTTCCTTTGTTATTTTTTTTTTTTTTTTGCTTACTTTTATAATATTTTTTTTTTTCATATTTTTAAACTAAATTTAAAATTCGTAAAAAACAATAATTGAAAAAAAAATAATTCCGAAAATTAGTATTTTTTTTTTTTTGTTTTGTTTAAAGGTATAATACCTTCCTATTTATCTAAAAGAATTTGTAAAATAAAAATGAGAAAAAAAAAGGATTTAATTTTGAAAAATAATTTTTTTTTTATAGTAGAACGATTGGTTGGTTGTGTTATAACTTTAAAAAATTTCCTATTTTTAAAGAGACGCGAGAATTCCAGCAAAAGAAAGAGAGAGGGAAAAACGGCAGCTGTACGATGAAATTTGGACCCATAGATAATATGTATTTATATGTATGTACATATATATATTACATCATTCAAATTAATAGAAATGAATGATGATTCTAATGATTCTATTAAAAAAAAATAGTTATATAAATAAAAAATTTAAATTGTATAATTAATTATTCTTTAAAAAATTTGAAAATATTTTAAATCTAAATGAAAATATAAATAATCAAGTGCATGCAATTGTGGGAAATTAAAAATAATCAGTATTAATAGCAAATATAACAATAACAAATAAAAATAAAATTCAAATCAAACCAAATCTTATAAAATTTTTTTTTCAAACACACATATATATACAGTTGGTTTTCTTTTAAAAAAAAAGAATCTTACCTGCAATGTAAAGTATCACTATTATAGTTATTTAGTTGATGATAAGAATTTTATTGAAACATTTTAGTCGCTCTTTTTTGTTGTAATAGGTATTGACTTGTTTCAATTGCTCGCTCCACCTCATTGTACATTCTTTCAGACCAATCTGGAGTCGCACCCTTTACTGATTCAACAACAACATCATTACAATTAATTACGTTCGTATTCCAACGGGGATATTTTGATACCATGCTTTCGAAAACCTCCAGCTTTAATTCTTCTTCTAATGCAATCTGATATTTTACTTCTACTCCGTACAAAGAATATGTATATTGATCGATTGCATACTGAAGGCAAGCGGAAGCATGTAAAAGAGATTCAAAAAAAGGTTTCATGATTTGAGTTTTGGTCATATTACTATCAACACCGCCACCGCCACCACCACAATTATTATTTTGCTTGCTCCTGCCGATAACTGGTTGATTATTATAAAGATCACCATTCAACATATCAACATCACTACTAGGTGAATATGAAGAAGATGATGATGACGATGATGATGTATGACGATGGTGGTGATGATGATTACCATTATTATTATTTTGATAATTTATCTTTGGTAGTTGTTCAGGTAGTACTAATCCTCCCTCTCCTCCTCCTCTTCCTCCTCCTCCTCCTGCTTCCCCTTCTCCTTCTTCATGTCTCAACAAATCCCCATTACTCGGACATAACGAGTATTCAAGTCCATCACCACGTCCACGGAATTGCTTAACCATTACCCAATTACCGTCCTGCTCTTCCGTTAAAACAACGTTCGTTTCATCTTTATTACCACTGCCATTACCTGGACTTTCCTTTTCTTGCCACTCTCTACCTGTCAACTGCCAAGTTCCTCTCCTCAACTTTTCTACAATCGTTCCCGCAATTTTTTCTTCTTCATCACACAAACCTATTCCTTCGTAAAGTTTTTGACGTATTATTATCATCTTTTGAACACACTTAATAACCCAATTGATTCCTTCTTCGTTTGTTGGTACTGAATATGGGATCTTTGCCATGTTCTCTCGAAAAAGTCTCATCCTTCCTTGTTGGTCATATTTACAATGATGAGAAAGAAAATGTTGAATGGTGGTCGAATTCAATAATCCAAGGAAAAAGTATGGTGGAAGTTTTGTGGTTGGTTTGATAGTAAAGTAAATACACTGATAATAACAACATGAAGATAAATTAATAATAAATATAAATCAAAAGAAACCCCAAATTTCAAATATCCTCTCTTCTTCTTCAATAATTAATTTTATCATCATCACCCATCATTTATATTATTAAATATCCTCCCCCTTCCACAAACACATCCATCCACTACCTTATAAATTTTATATATGAATAAAACAACACTTACTTGATTAGTTACGCATACATTATCCTCGTCTATAAAAAACCTCTGGCGGGGCTATGTGAAAAAAAAAAAAAAATCAATAAGCATATAAAAGTAATTTGAGGGAAGAAAAAGGAAAAAAAAAAATCAATTAAGCTATTAAATAAGAAAAATTAATCAAAAAATTTTTTCATTACCTGATTTTTTGAAAAATATCCATAATTTATTGGATGAATTATTTTGGTACGTATGTCAATTCTGAAAAGAATATTAAGCAAAAAATATATAATTTTTTTTTAAATATAATAATAAATTTTTTATGTAATGTTACACACTTCCATTTTTATTGTTTGTTTTTCATTTTTAAATTTAATGCATCTTGTCGATCAAAAAAAAAATAGACCAAGAAAAAAATTTTTCTTTGAAGATTACAATAACCATTTTCAAGGTATAACTAACCCGCATTTACTTGTGCCACAGTATACAACTTCTCGTGTTGTCATGGTAGTTTGTAAACATTTACGTGCTTCTTTTAGATAAATCCAAAAGGGACTATCTTCAGTATGGTTGCTTCTTATTTTTTCAATCGCGTTTCTATCAACCATAATTAATGAATACATTGATTTATCTTGTTCGAGTACATTTTTTGATATTGTAGCACCACCAGCATTATGAGATATGAATGGAACATAGGCTTCTGCTGGGGAATTTTCTTTTTTTTCAAGCCGCAATTCATCGCCCATTTTTTTCCAGAAATCAGCTTCTTTTCCACCATTTTTACCATTCCAATAAAACACTGGTTTTAACCATTCCCTGCATATGTCTACACCAAATTTAGAATATGCCCACGATGTACGAACCACTAGTGCATATACTGGATTAGTGTTTGGACCTCTATGCCAAATCAATGGATTACATTCCAGCCATGTAGGTTTCATGCTAGAGTGATCGCATAGCGAAGGAAAATTCATGGTTATAGAGTGAAGATAGGCACTAACAGCTGATGTTGGCATTAGAAAAGTGAATGAAAATGAATTGTTTTGGTGTGAGAGTTTGAATGGTTTAGTGATTTTATGATGCATGTCCTTGTCAAATTGTGGTTTACTTGCATCGAAGTTTGCATAGGCCTGAAGAGTTTCTTTAAGACTAGCTTTACGATTCATATAACGTAAAAATAGTATATCATTGTTAGCATTATCGTCTTTATTGCTGGCTGTGATTGATAGACCAACATTTGGGGATCCATTTGAAATTATTGATTCGCTACGACGACGTAATCGGAAAATTAAAGAGTCGGTTTGTATTTTCCTCCACACTTTAAAAGGTTCAAATTGAAAAAATTCTACAAAATAACATTTATCCCACATCCAAAATCTTGTTGTTTTGGTTTTGAAAATATATATATATATATATATTTATATTTATTAATCAAATTATTTTTGCCATTCAAAAAAAAATATTATAAATAATTTCCTTGTTTACCTCAGTTTGTCTGCAAATTCTAAACTCATCCATTGACTCGCTTTATTTGAAATTAAGAAATAATAATCAATCTGTTAGTAAAAAAATTTTTTGATATGCAAATATAGATATAAAAAAAGATTATAAAAAAAAAGTGGTTGATCATCAAGTAGCACACAGGCCGTATCTAAGTGATAGATAAAAACATAATCTAACTGACTATATATAATTTTACAATGTAAATAATTTGTTACACTACTTTTTATATTTGTCTAAAGTGTAGAAAAGAAGGACCATTGTTAATCAAATGCAGTCAAAACAAGACTCAAAACAAGTATATGGGAAAAATCAAAAATCAATTATAAAAATAGACTAAAGGTCGTACAAATCAAAATAATAATAATATTTTAATTAATAAATATATGAATCTATGTATACGTACCACTTATTAAACATATTTCTCCAGTTTCTTCCCTACATCTTTCCACACAGAACCAAAAGAAATAAGCATATGCTTGCATGCCGCCTTTTCCAAGAACTCTTTCATCAAACAGTTCAATATCAGGCTCAGAGATGAATCCTGTCTTACGGATCATGTATGGTGGATTTGTTACGATGAAATCAAATTTGAGATTATGTGGAGAACGAAGCAACCGTAAATTGTCATATTCCCAGGTATGTTCACGTTTTGGAAGAAATAAATTTAAAGTGTCATTACAAAATAAATGTAACCGATCTAATTTAAGGGCTTTCGTAAAAGGATTGTCTTTAAATCGTTTGTATAACGGTAATAGGTGAAGGATGATGTTTAATTTGCATAAATGAAATGCAAATGAATCAATTTCTATGCCCCAGATATTTTTTGCTAAAGATTTAAGAAGATTAGAAATTGCATTTGGATTGTTCCATATACTAGGGGTTTGTTTAGCAGCCAAGATTACACGATTAATAAATTCACATAAAAATGAACCGATTCCCATACAAGGATCCAAAACCATTGGAGCATTAGGTAAAAATTCCCAAGATTCTGATGATGAATTTATATTGTGATGATGCGGTGATTTCCTTTTATTGTCATAATTACAATTTTGATAATGAATAAAAGCATCAGAAGAGGTGGAGGAGTTGCCGTTGTTAGGAATTTTGTTGAAAACAAATAATTTCTCGATCCAAGTCTGATTTTCTCTGCTGATGAAAACCCTATCCCACATGAATTTAATTACTTCTTTTGGGGTATAGAATTGACCATGGTCTTTTTGATGCTCTTTAGCGGTGGTATTTAAAAAATTTCTTGTGTAGAAAAAAGAAAGGATTGACTCTATAGTTTCTAAAGTGTTAAAACGTATAGAATGGCTTTGAAAAGTTCTTGAAAGATCTAAATGATAAAAATTTTTTTCGAAAACATTTTTATGATAGTACCATGTGTAAGAATCTAAACTCTCATTTGTTTTATCTTCATCTTCGCTTCTTTGTGATTGAAATTGTTTATCCAAAAAATTGTCTTTAAAATGAAAAATTCTCATAAAATGGTCCATTTCTAAACGCCTTGAATTTTTATCACTATCTGCTTTCGATAAAAAGTCCATAACTACAACTTCAAAGAACATGTGAATGACGGTCAAGAAAGCTGTAATTTGGCTGTAGAAGTCAAAAACTTGATGAATTAGTTCAGTTTCAGGTGAATGAACCCCGACTGAAAGTATTGATATAAGGTGCTGCAAATTTTTAATTGGTTGGCGTTGGACATTTGGATATTGAGAAAATGGTGTCTTGGATATTAACTTATTAAAATCAGAAATGAAGCCTTTTGGTATTTGATCTAATTATGATCGAGAGAAAAAATAGAAATTTTAATAAGCCACGATTTAACTCACAATTATTTTTATATAAATAAATAACAAAAAAAAGTTTTTTTTTATTTTTTTAAAATTTTTTTATTTATAAACTATAATATAATAAAAAATTTACTTATCAACAACCCGTAATCCATATTTCATAACACATAATAATAATCACACCATAATAACTTGTACATATTTACCTTTACCTTCATTGGGATTTAAAAAAGTTTTCCATATCTCATTTTTTATCTCATCTAAAGTACTACTCAGAACCTCTATAACTTTACTAACAAGATCCTCGGTCAATAAATTTGGTGAGAATGGAGAATAAGAAGTATTGGAAAAGAAAGATTCTTGTCTATTGGGAGATATATTAGATGAGTCGGGAAAAGGAGAAGAACATTCCAGCAATTGTTGTTGTTGTTGTTGTTGTTGTTGTTTTGGAGGGTTTACGGATTTGAAAATGAATGGAGAAGTGGTGGTGGAAATAGAATTTCCAATTTTTGTTCTTTTGCTTCGCGATGCGTTAGAGTCATCAGTACAAGTAGACCAAGAAGCCCAATAAGCTAAGTTTGGAGGAATTTCTTGTTTATTGAGAACTGTTTTTAGCCAATCCGAGCTTTTCCCCAAAGTCTCATCGCATATTCCTTTGGATTGAGGCATAAAGCTTAAATTCTATAAAATAAAATATTATTAATTAGAAATGGAATTATAAATAGGCTTATTAAACCACATAATACATATAAAAGTTAACCGTAAATCGATAAGTTCAAATTTTACATTGAACCATGCGTGTAACTTTCCATTTTATATTGGATCATTCGATATAATGAATTTAATTGTATACCGACTTCAGAAGCGCCAACCAATTGTATATCAGGCTATCTGGAATCAAAACCAGTTTTAAATACTCAAATGAATATGCAGTATTATATTATTGTTAATAATTACAATAATAAAAATAAAACATATTGCCGATCATTCCATATATGCTCTTTTATAACAATTTTTTAAATTTTTTTTGTTGTTTTTTGAAGGAACCACCGATAGTAATGATTAGATTATTACCAAGCAAGCAATAGGAAGTTTTTATTTGTTATTTGTTATTTATTATTTGTTATTATTTATTATTTATTTATGTCATTATATCATTTATTATTGTGAAGTTGCTTTTTAAAGCATAAAAACATCAAAACTCAAAACTCAAAAACGCGACGATGGTAGTAACGGCGACGACGACGATGATGATGACGACGATGATGATAGTGTTGTTTTTAATAGAGATGACACATAAAATAAATATCTCACGTTGTTTTTGTAACTAAAATGCATATAAATACGAGTGAGTATACATATATATGTATTTTTATCTATCTATTAATAAAGTCATTTTCTCCAAAATAAGATTTAATTAAAACAAAATGAATCAGAATGAACGCCGTATCAATAGTCACGGTGGCTATACATAATGGTGTCGGTGATGGACTTATTTATTTATACATAGATAGATTTACATATTAGATTTATTATTATTTATTATTATTTGCTCAACAATAATAAAAATAATAATATCAAAAAATATTGTCTGACTAATCTAACATACACACGCATATGGATGGGGCTAAGCAAAATTTTCTAATCAAAGAGGAAAGATCAAAAGGCGTGATGTTAACGCGTAAAGATGTCACTTTGAAAACAGGTTTTAGTACAAGTTAAATTGATAAAGATAAAAATGGATTAATAATGAAAATAAAGTTTATATTATATTATATATATCTGGTTAAGACTTGCTTATAAGGAGTAGTGTATTTATTTACTCTGTTGCATTCCATCCACACGCACACATTTACTCTTTTTTTATTTGTATTATATATAATATATACATTAATAGAGCATAATTGGGACTTATTGTGTGTGCCATTCTTAAAATATAGAAATGTTGTATCAAGCAAATAAAAAAAAACAAATAAATAATAAATAAATATAAACAATAAGATTAAGAAATATCAAATACTTTTTTTTATAACACACCCAAGATGATGAAGAAAAGAATAATTATAGTAATTAAAAATAAATAAATAATTTGGTAATTGTAATAAGTAGTTATCATTACTATTATTGGATTTATCATTGGATGTTTTCCTGGAACCTGGTCGTTCATCCCAAGTAATTGGGAACAATGAGAGTTTTTTTTTTTCAATGCATTTTTGGCAACCAAGTAAAAAAATTTTTACTAGCCTATCTACTGATTTTTTTAAAAAATAATTTATCAGCAAAAAACTAATCCGTCAATCGATCAAGACCGATTGATTAATCAATTAACCAGCGTAATCGATCACCAATGAGATAATTACGATTACTATAGATAGAGTAATCGATATCAATGATAACTTAATATTAATCTTTTCTAAATTTGTAATATTTATTAATTAATGTGTCAAAATTTTAACTGTTATACGACAGAAATATGCTTCTTAAACCAAATAAAACAATTCCATGTACGCACAGAATCATAATTTCGTCACGGGTAATTCTGCGTATTTATTGGGCAATCAAACGCGTAAAAAATAAAGTATTTAGAATTCTGCACCTTAAATTCTTGAAGTTGGCAGTTCAAGTAAAAATAAAAAATATTTCATATTTCATGACAAATTTCTTTCACGTCCGTTATATTAATTTTATCAATGTTCTCACCCCTTTCGGCACTATTATAATTATTTCCATAAAAAATTAGTAATTACTGATTCTGATAATAATAATAATCTCGTTTAAATAAAATTTTCCGTTTACGGTTAAAATGAATTATTTTCTAATTAATTAATTAATAATACAATTAATCGGATGTCTATATTATAAATATCATTCATTATTTATACAATGAGAATTTATTCCCCCCGCATTTGAAACCTGTTCTATCCAAAGGGGTTTCGCGCGTCTTTTCTAATATTATTATTTGCTTATTTTTTATTTTTTCTTTGTCTTGGTTGAAATTTTAATTAATTAATTAATTTATTTATTTATTCATATGTTTGTTTGGCAATTGCTTTAGTCATTTGACAACCTACCGCATTATGTTTGCATTGGAAAGAAGATGTGATAAATATAATTGTTATATTAATATTAATTAATTAATTAATAATGTACAATATGGAATATATTTGAAAATCTTACCATTAATAAGACAAATAAAAGTTTCTTAGAAACTTATTGAACTTATTAGTAAAGATCAGTCATTAGCACATCATGGCTTTTAAAACATTGAGCCACTAAAAAGAGTCATCGATCTTGTATTTACATTGCATTATTTTGTTATCTAATTATAGTTCTTACCAATTAAAAAAAATAAAATTTTCTACCACGTACGTGACAAATCATTTTCTATCTTATTTTATGTTTTCCGTAATAATCAACAACAATATTACATTATATTATTATTATTATTTCATCTCTCATTCACGCAATTATGATTTTACCTTTTTTAAAAAATATAATGCATCGTTCATTCATCAATTTATTATAATATCATTTCTTTGTGTGTTTTCTCTTTGTGTCTCTCATTTTACTGCTTCCCCATCATTTCCGCTTTTACATTCTGTTGATTTTATTACTATATAAATATATTAATCAATATTCATTATTTCTATTATTAGAAAAAAATTTTTTTTCCTATTTTAAGATTATTGATCGTTTATTAATGCATTTGTTGTTTAGATTTTTTTTTTTCGTATCGTGAAAATTAAATTAAATTAATAAAATGATCGGCAAATTTTGGTTCTAAAATGGTATTCCAATACATACTATACCGAAGGTAAGGGTGATGATGATGTAACTTTTAACTTTTTTATCTTTAGTGAGCGAATGTTCATATATATAGTGTGTGTAAAAAAAAAATTTTATTGCAATCATGTCATACCAGTGACTCCATCATTACAAATGCTAAAAGCTCAACTCAAAAACTTTTCGAATTTTGTTAATAATCTGATATGATTGTCCAGGATCCTGCCTGCCAGCTCCCTCGGATTCCTTTTTGTAATATAAAATATAATAATAAAATTATATACTGTGTTTATAATAAATATTGCATACAATGTGATATACAATACTATTTTCTTTTCTACAGCTTCGGTCGTTAGTATTATTGGTATTAGATAGAGCATTATATGCTTTTACCATTTTCCTAATTTTCCCTTGCTTGGTACCAGATCTGGGTTTGTGATATGAAAAAAAAAAAAAGTTAATAATGACAATATTGCACGTATACGTGCTATTTAACCAATTAATTAAATCGATCGAATTAACAATTAACAAAAGCTAGGAGTAATTCACATCATACTAAATCTAGCTTATATATGGCAAGTAAACATTAAATTAAAACCGTTTTTTTTTTTTCAAATTCGATTTTAAGATCTTAATCCCATTTGTCATCTCGCGATTTAATTTGTTATCTGAATGTGTCATTCATTCGTTGACTTAATCAGCATTTGTTCAAGATCCACAATATGATTTTTTTGAATATTGTTTGTTTTTTTTAAGAAACCACTCACTCTCCTCTCGACTAGTATATGCTATCACCATGATAATTATGGCTAGCCTTGTTTCCGTTTTTATCTAGATTTTCTCTTATTGGTTAAATATTGTTTATATTGTTTATTGTTTCTCAAACAACATGTTTCAATAAAAAAACACTATTTGGTTACTCGTGGTTTTACCTTCTTGTAAAAAAAATTTTTTCTCGATCAACAAATTAAAAAAAATTTCATTGATAATCAAATAGATTTTTTTATTATTACATTTTGAAATTGTCAGAATGATCAACTTTAAACTATATAAATTAATTATACAGTATATGGAAATAGAAAGAATAGAAAACGATTTTATGGCATTTAACAGATACAATTTATGTAATCACAATATATAATGTATATAATAGCAATAATGACAATTGAGATAAATAAATGAATTTCCATGTGAAATTATCATTATTTTGTGCGAATCACGTGGTCCCGAAATTAAAGAATTAAGGGGATAATTTTACATATTTATTATGAATATTGACGTCTTTTAAGATATCTCCTATTATTTCTAGCAGTACTACCTACCCCTTCGCCCGCTTCAACACTCATATATGGTAACTTATTCCATGGTATTCCACAAACTCCAAACGACACCATCACCCCTTTGCTACTCCTACTCCTCGAATGGTAATCATCATCATCGCCACCATTATCTATCATGAACCATATTGGCAGTTCCAAATTTCCTTTCATTATTGCATTGGTCTTGAAAAGGATTGTAGGCGGGAGTGGTGTTAGTATATGAAATGTGTGGTTGGTTGGATCAATCGATCGTATAATTGCTAATCCAAGGCATTGATGTTCTGTTGGTGATGGCAGTGTTGATCTCTTTAGATTATATTTTGGTGGTATCTAAAATAGATCATATTATCTCACGTATAAATATATAATATAAATATTCAATAATTATGTATTTATATAACGCTTACAATCTTCTTTTTATGACCATGTTCTTCTTGATT